AACAATGCTTTTATTTTGGTGATCCCAGCTGTGTCTGATACCTTGGGAAGTTAAAAACTTGTGGGCCTGTGCAAGGTTAGAGTAATTTTAAAAGAGCAACCACAGAATGGGAGTGAGCCCATGAAGCAGGTAATACAGGCCTTTGCACCAGAGTGCAGCGCACTTGCAAGTTCGCTGTAGGATGGCTGTGCTGCTAAACTCCCCTCTGCTAGTGGGAATGTAGTTTTCCAGAGGACGGTGTGGTCAAATGAACATGCTTGTGCAGTTCATGTGATGGCTTTGCTCTCGTTTATCTGCTAGAAGAAAACATCAGAGCTATCAACTCCTTTTCTCATTAAAGGTTTTATCTTAATTGTTGCTTAATTGTGCTTCAAATCTGAAAGCAGAAGTAGTGATTTGTTCTGATCAGATCTGCTTCTGTACAAGCTACCAGCATGCATCTTGTTGGCTGCAAGGGACTGTTAAGGAACAGGCCCCTGGGCTCAGAGCCATGCACAGGTAACAGGAAGGTAGCCTAGCCACCAGCTTGCCATTTAACAGCTATTCCAAATAACTACCTGGCATGCCTTAAAAAGAAGCATCTTCCTTAATGCAAGGATGTTCCTTGTTGAGTGTGGTAAGTTTTACCCCAAAAGAGTCAGGATGTTTTGCTAGCCTGCTTGCCCAGCCTCTATTCTGCTTGAAAGAGGTTGTGCTAATTTTCTTCTTCCTTGATACCTTGACCATTGTTGTTGCTTCTGAAAATACTGCTGTGGTGTTGGCTGGTTGGAATGGTTTAGTGACTTCAGTGGGTTCTTTTGGGTTGCGTGGTGGATTGACAGCAATTCAGAAAGAGGAGTTACTAAGACCTGAGGTGTCAGCTGTTGTTAAAGGATTTGGTCTGAAGACCTTTGCTTGGTGAGTGCTGTGAGTGATGGATGACTTGTTTGGGAAAGGGAATTGGGAGAAGGTACAATACAGCATTCCATCTCCCAGACTCCCAAGATCAGAGTGTGATCTAGTTGACCTTTCTTATGGGACCTCTTAGGAAGATTGCTAGTATGTATGTCTTAGTACTTGCATTTAAGAAGCTCTTGGACCAGTGTTAGCTAGATTTCATATTTATACCTTATTTGTCTAAAAAGAAGATGAACTCGCTTGTAGAAGTCTGTCTGCTGACTGTGCAAAACGGTTTGCCCCAGGAGGCCAAAAAAAAAAAGGCGGCATTGACTTTTGAGTTGAGAAGAGTCTGTGTTCTGTAACGTGGTTCAGCACAACCCCACGGAAATCTTTCTGCTGGCACGGTGTTAAATCCGCTGGGTGAAAGCTGACCTTGTCAGAAAGCATGGCTGTGTTGGAGCACTGTGGGAAAATCTGGGCACTTACACCACATTGCTGGCACCAAATCCAGCGGACTGGGGCTGGTTTTCACCTGTTGCAGTGTGCTTTGGGAGATGTTTCCTTCCTAAAAAGTGGGGAGACTGGAGGCGGGCCAGGGGGGGCATTTCCTGAGTGCAGAGAAATGGTTAGCTGGTCTCGTCTTGCTCTTACAGCACAGCAGCGTGCGAGCACAGCAGAAGTGCAGTATGTGGAGAAGGCTGAGGTCTGTGTTCGTGACTGTGGTCCTACAGGTGGAACCTCTGCTGAGACAAGGCTGCCTGCACGCTCACTGTGAAGCCTCCCACCAGCCTTTGCTTCTCGCATACCAAAACTCACTCCTAGGGATACCTGCAGGCTTGGGCTGAGGTACAGGAAGACATCTGTGAGTAGCTGCAAGACCTTATGTCCTGCTTCACTTCTGAGTGTCTGCAGACACACAGTCCTTGCATACAGTAATAGACACTGCAATACGCTATGCATCTGTACAAATACCTGGATTTGCTTAAGACCACAAGCAGCACATCAGCTAAAAGCACAAGAGATTGTCTTTTAGAACTGTTCATGGCATACATGAGTAGATAGAGAGTACTTCTTTCCAGTGTATTCACTTGAGATATAACAGCAGCTTTAAAGTAGCTCCAGGACAGGGGAGTTTGCGTAAACACAAAGAATAGCCCCAATTTTAACTACGTTATTTCCTTCTCTGTTTGCGTACTGTGACACAGCACCCAGTTTGTAATGATCAGTCAGTAATCACTGCAAGAGCAAAAAATAAAGCTAGGCTCCCCCCGTCCTTGGCAGCTACAATACTATACAATACAAGCACATTTATTATAAACACATATATGTATCATCATTTACAGATATATTTGCACGCCTTCAATAGCACCGCATGGCCAAGTGGTCTGGGACCAGGGCTCAGCTCTTCAGCAGGTTTTTACCACTGTGAAGGGTGGGATGCAGGACGTCCTCCCAAAGCACAGGGGGGTAGTGCTGGCAGCAATGTATAAAGGGCTGACTGACTAAGGTGGCAAGGTGAAAGATCTCTGCTCCTCTCCAAACTGGAAACAAGGACAGCTCTCTTTTTGGATGTGCTTCCTCAAATTGATGTGATTTCTTGTGATGGAAGACAGCCAACTCTGAGCAAGGAAAGGCCCAGCTTGATCTGGTTTGTTAATACTCAAAAGGGAGAAGCAAATTTGGGGAGCTTTTAGCAATTCCCAGTGCAGAGCCTTGCTCAGTGCATTGTGCACTCACCTGTCTTTTGACCTGACTTCCTTTTTCACACTGCTATAGTTGCTTTTTTGCTTCTGTCATCAGGAAACACTCTTGAGGAAGAGTTTTAAGTGGCTCTTCTGTCTTGTTTTGTAAAGATTTTGCTGGCTGACTCTGTACAGACCTGTAAAACGTGACCACCACCCCTGGCAGTGGAAATGATGGAGTCAGCATAGCATGCACCTTCCTTATTCTTCCAGACTGGTCTCCAAACCCTCCCTGGAAGAGCTTGCATGCAAGAGGTTGGACAGGCTGGAGCAGAGTGACATGGACTCTGGAGCAGCAGACACTCACCATGGTTCTGGGCTTCATCCTTCACCTTACCTTGTGGTGGAAGGGGATGCTCATCCTAAAACTACACAGAGCCCTGTTCTCCCTTCCAGAAGGTCAGTGCTAAACACCAGCCCAGTGTGTACTCAGCCTCACTCTGCATGAGAGAGTCTAAAATCCAGGGATACTCTGACTTGGGAAACATCAGAAACTTTCCTATACTGTTGTCTCCTGCAAATGAACCTGGTGTTGGGCTGGTATAGCAGGAGGGGTGTAAGGAAGGGCCAGAGGCCGGGGTGATGAGCTGAAGTGTAAGCCAAGCATGGTTGCTGGAGGTAATGATGAGGGCAAGGATGATTTAGGGTTGTGTCCAGAAGCATGAGGTTTGTGTGAAGAGCATTCTAGGACTTGGATCCTGACCAGACTGGCATCCAGTAAGCAGGCATTTAATAAATGCCACTCTTCTTTTAGCAAATGAGAAGGGTGGAAGGGACTTTCTGTTTTCTCACACATGCCAGGGCCCTTGCTGCAATGAAGAGGTCAGCAAGGCACATCAGCTGTGTCACCTGTTCATTCCTCATCTTTCAGGCCCACCTCTGGTCCCATGGGACACTCAAGTGGGTGGTGAATCTTCCTTCCTGAGCACTGTGTTCACAGAGTTGTGAAAAACGGCTGGGAAATCCCTTCCCAGAGGTGGCCAGCCAAGCTCTTGGGAGGAGTCAGCAGCATGAGCCCTTCTGCATGGGGATGCTTCAAGGTGGGTTCCCATCCAGAGAGCCGTTTCCCCTGCCTGAGAGGCTCAGATGCAGCTGATACACCAGTGTAACTGGTGGGGAAGCAAATGATGCTGGACAGTTAAGAGGCAGCAAGGGATGGGACCACAGCTTCATCATGGAGCTACTCCCAGGCAATTGCTGGAAAGACCTTTCAGGCGAGTGCTATAAACTTGAAAATGATGCTCTGAGCCCTTCATGTGGATCTCCCTTGAGCAGGGAGATCTGGCAGGCAAAATGTTGTTTGTCACCAAGTAAGGCTGCATAAACCAGGTACCAACCATTAAATATCTCTGTTGTCATTTGGAAAACCCTTGGGTTCTAGCATTTGGGGATGCAGCGATAAGTAGTAATTAATTATTAAGAAAGAAAGAAAGAAGCCAAAAATGCTTCTTGCCCTTTTGTTCTTCGCAACAGACGGGTGAGAACAGGATGTTCCCAGCAGTAACTTTTTAATTATTTCACTACTGCACATCTCTCTTACAGGGCAAGTTAGAAATGTCAGTTTAATTTTCTTTTAATTGCCTCAGCTATCAGGTACCTCAGAAACTCCATTTTTACCAACCATCTAGTCCTTGTTCTTGGTCTCAGAAAGCAGCTTATTGCTGTAGAAACACTCCGTGTACTTCTGCTTCTGAAAGGGCCTCTCCCAGGAGGACAGCAAAGGATGCAAATATTTTGCCTGTATCTGGCATTACTCTGTGTGAAAGGGATGTGTTTTGCAACACAGGAAGCTTCAGGCTTTGGTTTGGTTTTCCTTGCCCATTTCCATGTGGAATTTAAACCCAGCGTGTATTTGCTTAACCCATGGCGGTGTTGGGGTTTTCACCATCCCATGAAGTGTGTGCGGTGCCTTTGCATGGCCAGGGCAGGGGGCTCAGCCTTGCCAGGGGGGTGGTTCCCATGCTCGCCAAGCTGGAATCCTCTTTTCTTGGAGAGAGAACAGTCAGAAATAGATAATGCGTGAGTGACTGAGCTCTGCCTCTTTCCCCTCTGCTTGGTCAGCCTGCTTTTTACTGACTGCTTCCTCCTTCCCCACTGGCCATGTGCTGGGGGCGCCTTGGGGTGCAGAGGTGCTTGCAGCCTGGTTTTCCTCCGGCCATGCAGCTTTCCCTCAACTGCTTGTCCTTAGAATGGGGAAGTCAGGGTTCCTCTGCACCATCCTGGGGGATATCGTGGTCCATGTGGAAGGGCTGCTGGTGCACTTGTTGCCAGGATCGGTGGGTTGCCACACCAGTGCAGGGGGCCACCAGGGAGCTGCTAGTGCCGCTTGAGGGTGGCTGCGTGAGCGAAGGCGTGGGCACAGTGGGGGCAGGCGAAGGGTCACTCGCCAGTTTGAGTGCAGTGGTGGTGGGCAAGGCAGGAGGACTGGGCGAAGGCTGTGCTGCAGTCGGGCCTCTTGTGGGGCCGCTCTCATGTGTGCAGCATCTTGTACTCGAAGAGTTTGGAGGACTTGGTGAAAGCCTTGCTGTAGAGGCAAAGGGCTGCTTGCCAGTGTGGACCTGCTGGTGCTCCACCATCCAGCTGGCCACAGTGAAGGCCTTCCCAATCAGGGCACCGGAACGGTGTGGCCCCTAAGTATCCCCACTGATGGCGGAGCAGGGAGAGGGTCTTGTTGAAGGTGTGCCCACAGTCGGGGCAGGGGAAGGGCTGGTCGTTGTGGTGCACGTTACGCTGGTGCTTGCAGAGGTTGGACGGGAGGGCGAAGGCCTTGCTGTCGGCGCAGCAGTAGGGCCTCTCGCCTGTGTGGGTGCGGATGTGCTTGCAGAAGTCTTGAGGATGAGGTGTAGGTTTTGGTGCAGAAGGGGCACTTGCAGAGCCGCTCGCCTGTGTGCAGGTGGTGGTTTTGCTGCAGCATGCCCTGGGGCGAGTAGGCTTTGCTGCAGAGCTTGCAGGCGTAGGGCCAAGCCCTTGCTCTGCGTCTCCTGGTGGCTCAGCAGGTTGATGGACTTCTTGAAGGACCGCCTGCACTGCAGGCACTTGTAGGGATGCTCCTCCAAGCTAGACCCCTGCAGAACCCCTGGCCCAGTGGCCTCTGCATTGGCAGGAGCTGATGTTCGCCAGGTGACGTGGCTGGAGCGGCCATCTCTGGATGCCTCCCCAGAGCTGCTGCCCAGAGTCACTGTGGTGTCCTTGGCACCACAGGGCCTCGTGAGCCTGCTGTCCATCCAGGATGGGTGCTGCTGGCACAGGGGTTCCCTGTGACTGGGCTTGCCACCCAGGGCATGAAGGCTCACCAGCAGCTTCAGCTTCCTGGCCACACCGTTATTGTTGATGAGGGTGAAGGTTTTGTAGAAGACATCAACCTTCCTGGCACAGTGGGTGCCCAGGCATGTCCTCCCTCTGACTGTTCCCTGGACTGCTGTGGTTGCTCTCCAGGTGGTGCACACTGGCCCCCTTCCTCTCCTGCAGGCTGGCATGGGGGTACTCCTGGTCCAGTCTTTCAGGATGCTTTGGGCTTGCGGTGCTCCTCACCTTTGTCAGGCATGAACGTCTCTAAGGCTCCTCCATCCCCGGGGCCATTGCTGTAGGGCGCCTGGATTTTGAAGCAGGAGGGGACAGGCATGAGGAGCAGAAAGCAACCAGGCAGCTGTTTCTTAATATATAGCTGGTTTTGTCTTTGGTCACGTTGATTTATGCTGAGATCTCATCTGCTTTTTCCTTTTTCTAATGGCTACAATGCTTATTTGAAAGCATGAATTTTTTTTGGTTTCCACACTTTCTTAACTATTTTTCTGCCTTTTTAGATACAGAAACACCAGGAAACAAAATGCAGGTGTTACTAATTACAGAGGCCCTGATGCTCTGCTAGGTTTCAGATCCGGTGGCTGCTTCTCTTGACTGCTAAGGAGCTAACGGGTTACAATGCCAGGTGAATGGTAGCTGTTTCTCCCATTCCTGGAGGGCTCAGCAGAGAAAAGAGCTCCATGTTAATGCAGAATCAGGCAGTATAAAAAAATAAGATCTTAATAAAGCTCACCTGGCCACACAGAGCATTTCCAGAGAAATAAAAATAGCAAGAGGGTGAGAAACCAAGGACAACTAGGAGCTGTGACGGTGAAGGTGGGAAAGCTGCTCAACAGGCCCTCTGGGCTAGCTCAGCAGAGCAGATGCCCTGTGTGCTGCTGGCAGCGGATGTGGGCCAGCCAAGCTGCCTCCTACCCCTAGGCACGGAAGCAGCAATGTAGCCACATTTCTACTCTCCGTTTTTATGCAGAACATTTAAAGAGTATTAAAATCAAACCCTGACCATGAGCTAGACGCAGCCAGCAAACAGTGGGACATGCAGTGCTGAGGAGGGGAGGTTTCGCCTGTGGCAGTTTTATTTTCACCAGCTCTCTTTGCAATTTTGCAAGCAGGTTAGCAGGCTCTACCCTGCTTTCTTGTGCATGTGTAGAATGGCCCAAGGAGCTCATGCTGTGTGAGGGGTCTGGAGAGCAACGTTCATCTGCTCTTCATGTTGTGGCAACCAGGGAGGTGTGGGGAGGGGGGCATCTGAGCAATTGCTTCTCTGGAAAGCAAAACCAGTTGCAAATCACAGCAGAGAAAGGGAGAAGCCCCATTCCTCTCACTGAGAAGAGGTGCAGTGAATTACTCTTTGGATGCTGATTTAGTAGTATTGACCAGCATCCTTGTTTAGAGGCTGCTGGATAGTTTGAAGCCAGCTGGCTGAGCCTGAGCAAGCCTGCTGCTGACAGAGACAGCACTTGTGAGGACTGGGAAATGCCAACACTGCTTTTATCTATTTCTGTGTTCTCCAAGGGGAAAGCTATGGACAGTGGTGTATGGGCTGTCCAGCCTGCTGCAGCCCACTGCTGCAGAGAGGTAGGAGAGCACCTGCAGCAAAGCTGCTTATAGCACTGCAAGGGTGGACCTGTTTCCCTGAAGCAGCTTTCCAAAGATAATAATCTACCTTTGGTCTGCTAGGTGATGCCAGGGGTGTTTGGAGGTCTCATTGCAGAAGGGGACAGACCCCAGTGGCCTCTTGCTTGTGCCCTTTCTGGGGTCCCCCATACACATTGCTTCCTATCAACCTCAGGCCTGACTGCCTCCCCCCTGCCTCCTCCCAGCCTCAACTGGCCTTACCTTGATGGGCGAGCACGGGTGGGCAGCTGGCCAGCAGGAGCTGCTCCCCAGGCCCCTCCAGAGGGGCAGCCTCTTTCCTCACCCCAATCTGCCCTGCCTGCCTGAGCCCTTCCCTTCTCCTCCTCTCGACAGTGGTGGAGACCACCAGCCACGTGCTGAGTTGTGCCTCCCACTGCACCTACCAAGAGGCTTTCACCTGCTCCTGGCTTTTAGATGCTATTTCGACTTCTCTTGAAGAGAGCCCCAGCACCAGTAGTGCTCACTGGGTGCTTTTCCCCTGCCTTCCTCCCAGGACTTCATGCTGTGACCTTCAACTTGTCTCTGGTGCATTGTGCTAAATCCCTGCTTTTCTTCCTGTTCAAGACACGTTTGTCACCACCTGATTTTTCCTTGGACACTATGTGAGTGGTTTCTCCCTCCCCACAAGTCTAGTGTATGTGTTTCTGTCTCTCCTCAGTGTGGGAGCTTTCCTGCAGGGATATTTCTTCCCTGCTTCTCTTACTGCCTGGTTTGCACATGCTGCTTAGCTTTCCCTTCCTTACAGTTCAGATTTCTGTCTTCTCTTTGGCATCAGAATCAAAACTTTTACCCTTGTTTTGAGCTGACTCACTTCGTAGGCAATCTCAGCACTGAGGACTCTCTGCCTACAGTTGTTTTATTTAGGATTAGCAGAAATTAAATTCCAGAAGTCCTGGCAACAGGTAATATTTCAACAAAAGCGCTACACAGCAGCCTTCAGTCCTGCACTGCTGATCAGAGCTTTGGACGTGCAAGTACAAGAATATGATCCTGCTTTCAGAAACTGGGGGAGCATATGGGAAGGGGTAGTTACCCTGGGCTGCACTTGGAGCATCTTGAGGATGGTCCAGAGCACAGTACCACTCGCCAGGTGGATGCATGACAAAGCCTTCACTATCCCACTGCCTGCTCCCCAGGTGCTCATTTCCTCTGGTTTTCCTCTCTTGGACAGCTTGCATGCAGTAAACAAGAGCTTATGTCTTCGAGATGGCTCTGGATCCAGTAACTCAAAGGAATTAATGTTGCAGCTCCCACAGGAAACCAGACATGCAAACCTGTTTCTCACTGGAGTCAGAGCCAACTGGGCCATGAGGCCACTGCTGAGTGATGGTGTACGTGAGCACTTATGAGCAGGCTGCTTCAGCAGGGCACTGTTGCTCTGCTAGGGGCTGAAACCATTGTTTATAGCTGGGACGTGACATAAATGAACGAGCTTCCCAAACAGTATTCTCCATATGTTGCATCCCTGCTCTCGACAGTCTGAAATCATCCTCCCAGTAGTTTTATTCCCATGCTCCTTCCCATGTGGCCTCCTGTTGTGCTGGAGCAAACTACACCATACCAGCAAAAAGCATTAGCTGGGTCTTGGCAGCATCTCTGTGAAGCAGAGGGATTTAGACTTGGGGAATAGTCGTAGGACTTGAACCTGTAGGGAAGCTGTCACTGAACATAAGCTGGGGATGGTTTAAAAACTAGAAGGGAACAGAAAGTCATCGGAAGAAAAAAAAGGCGTGTTCAGCTCATGGCCAGAGGAAGATCATCACTGGGGGCCAACTAAGGCCTGTTTGCAAGCTACGAAGAGAGCAGGGATGAGGGCTGGCGCTCCCACTCTTATCTACCATAGGTTGCCAAAAGTAGTGCCAGGCCGGCATGGTCCCATGGTG